AAAAAACAAAAGAAGAAAAGATTTGTCTTTCATGGAGTGACACATTTTGTTGTTCTCCGCAGAAAGCATCCCTGCAGTGGATCTCTGAAGGAGAATACATGTGCATAGGAAAACCTGGGGCACTGTTTGCTGACTGCTTGGTCTCTGCCAGGTGTGGGGACTTTAGACCCACGACCTAATTTAAACCTTACAAACAACCTGACCAGGCAGGTAAAGAAATGGATGGAAAGAGAGTTGAGTAATTCGCCCAAGGTTGGCTCAGCTAGTAGGTCAGTGGGAGAACCTGGATTCAAATTTAGGTCCAACTCTAGAGTTCATAAACAGTGAACCACTTCACTGGGGCCTCTCTCTCAGTTGAGAAATGTCATTTAGACTTGAACCTGAATCAAGCCAGTGTTATGGTCCATTTGGCTGTTTTCCTAAAGCAAAGTGCTCAGGTCCTCTGGGCAAACTCCAGGGCATTTGAAAGGCTCATTTTGACAATGCCAGGCAAAGATATTTGGCCTGAGTGCATTTGTTTTTCACTATGTATCTTAATACAAATGAAATATTGCCACTGAAGAATGCTTTCTGTGTCAGAGGAGGGCTTCTGGGCAGAGTTATAAGGCATTTACATTGAGAATTTATCTAACTTAAAATTTTAATTATATAATATTTAAAATAAACACAATACTATAGAATATAATGTAACAACTGCCTATGTAACCCACCTCCAGAACTAAGGAGACACTAGCTCTTGGGGATGGGATAGTGGTACATTTTTATTCACTCCTAAGATTCCCACCTCTGTGAAGTGAGCTCAACTATTGATATACTCCTGGTCTCTTGCTGATGTCAGCTCATGGGAGGTGAAGAGTCTACCCTAAGTTTGGGAAGAGAAACTGCTTATTCTTAGGGCTGTTCCTTGGTCTTTTCTTCCTCTTGAGAGCATCCTTGCCCACAGGGAATGTAAACTCTTGGTTGCTTTCTGCCATGTAAAGAGCTAAATTTCAAAGGTACCCATGTGGGAGGCCCTTGGAGACTCCAGTCCTGTTGGTGACTATTTCTGGGGTCCAGTATTTAGAATTCAAGATCTGAGCCACATTTTCATCATTTACTTGCCTAGTAATAAGTATGATCTTTTATTGTCGATCTGTCTGACTCTGACTTTCTTTTATTTGGTTCAGAACTTAGGTGGGAAGAGGGGTGATGTTTTGAGGGACTCTTCAAACCCCAACATAAAAATTTGAGCATGTTAAGAGCTCCTTCTTAAAATGAATGAAAGCTACAATTATAGCTAAAGCTCCCTCTCACCCACCACATCATTTTCTTCTTCCTTCCCTAGTGCTTACCACTAATCTGACTGTATCCTTCCTATACATGTTTTGGTATTTTTACTATATAGGTATATGTCCATAAACAATATTGTATTGCTTTATGTGTTTTAAAATTTTATAAAATGATATCATCCTATACACAATATATTGTAGTTTGCCTTTTCCATTTAATATTGTTTTTGAGATTTTTTTTCTGTATTGATATATGTATATGTAGACCTATTCATTTTCAACTGCTGTGTAGTACTTCACTATATGAATAAACTGAAGTTGTTTTTATTCTATAGAATGATCAATGCCACAATTGATATTCATGTATATGTTTCTTTGTGCAAGAGTTTTTCTATGGTTGATATCTATATGAGTTAACATAGGCTAGCTGACAAATGTGACCCTGGGTTCAGATATACCCTGAAACCTCAATGGTTTAACTTAATGAAAGTTTAGTTCTTGCTATGTAGAGTCCCAGTAGATTTGTGAGGTGGAGTTGAGGAAGTGAGGAGACAGCTGTGTTCCACAGAATCACTCAGAGACCCAGGCTCAAGGAGAGTCTCTCTCCTGTCAAGGTCAGCCTTTTTGTCCATATCAAGCCAGAGGATGGAGACAGATGAGTGGAGAAGGTATACTAGCTTTTTAACCTTTTTTGACCCGGAAATTACAAATATTACTTCCACTTACCTTCCATTGATGAGAACCAGTGCACCTAAATGCAAGCTGGCTAAGAAATGCTGCCTTTGATTAGGTAGCCTCATTTCCCAAACTACTCTACCTTTGGAAGGGGACCATACATTTTTGGAGGACAGCTGACCATCTCTGCCACAACACCCAAAAGTGGTATTGCTGGTTCTTTCAAAAAAGAATTATTTGTCCTAAGGGTTTTATTCTCTAGAATTTTCCTTGTACCAAGGATGGTGTTAAAGGCTTGTGAGTCCTGGAAGCAGCAGAAATATGTAGAATTATTGTTAGCGTCTCTCTCGTCATCGTATTTGGTAGCAGGATGAAAGAGAATCATTGTTAGTTGGAAATGATTGGTGGGCGGGGTGTCAGGGGCCAGCAACACAGCAGATTTTATTCACTGTCACTGTCCTTGACTTTGAGACTTTGAGAGATCCCTTGATTATTGCAATGCCTTGTGACCCCATCAGGAAAAAAAAAAAATCTTATCAACTCTAAAGGAATGGACCAGAAGATCAGATTGGTTTTTCCCAAATGTTAGGCCAGCAGAAATTCCAAGAAAGGTTTTCTGAGGTCAAGAGAGCTAGAGAACTCCTCGGGGGCAGGACAGAGATGGAGCTTGGCTTCCACCCATCCTTCAAAAAATCTAGGCTAGTTTCAGACCTCGTGTCCTCTGTCTAGTCACCTAACCCTGACTGAAAATAGGGAATAGAATTCTATCGAAGTTACTTGGGGATAGCATAAAACCAACCCTGCACCTATTTAGGATAAGTAAGGAAAAGATCAGTGCCAAGAGGAGAGGACAGCTATAAAAGTAGAGTTTATAGTCCTTCTTTTAAAACAGGCTTTAAAAATACAGAAGAAAAAAACAACAGAAATATCTCACTTTTAGCAAAGTACCCTTCAATCACCTAAATGCATTTCCTATAGAAAGGTGAAACTATTTGGCTAATACCAAATGCTGTTACATTCTGTAATGACTTTAGAGTTGACAATGAAATGAGACTAGGAGAAAATAAAGTAACTAGAGTTTGGTTGAGAGATTATCAGATTCTCTATTACACTTAAATATTCTGCACCCATCATAAAGAATAATCACGTATGTTTACATAACATTATCTCTAAGATATTTTTAAAATAAAAAAACATAGGTAAACAGTGTGTGTAGCATATAAACATTTGCATGAAAATAGGAGAAAAAATAGGAATGCACATACATGTATTTGCTCATATGAGAAAGATTATCTCTAGGGATTATAAACAAGAAACAGGTGACAATAGTAGCTTTTATGAAAGGGGACTGAGGGATCAGGTGAATGGGTGTCAGAGGTGGGAGATAACTTCTCACTGTGTACTCTTTAATGTTTGAATTTGCTGTGTGTATGTGTGTGTGAGTGTGTGTGTGTGTGTGTGTGTGTGTGTGTGTGTGTGTGTGTGTTTCAGTGTGAGAAAAGGAAAGTCCCACTGTCTACTGAGAATAATGTTTCTAATTAAGGACTAAACTCCAGTGAAAGTAGACTTAGTAACTGTCATTTGAAATCAAGAGGAAGCAAGATAGTACAAGACCTGTTCTCTATTTTTTGCTAAGTTAATGCTTCTCAATCTGGTTTTGGCTCAACACAGGATATGATCCACCCTATTAAAGAGTAGCCACTTCTCCTGAAAGTGATTCTCAGTTGGGGTCCATATACACTGTACGACCAGGAACAAGTGGCCTTGAACTTGTTCAAGGGGCCATAAGCAAGAGGAATGGAAGAACAAGAGGAGGAGTAGAATATTCCCAGACATGGGATCACAGAATGGTTTACTTTAGAGAAACACTTCCTTATAAAATTATTAGGTGTGTTTTTGCAACTATGATTGGTTTATACCCCCTTTTGTGACGACGGTAGATTATTTTAAAAAATAGTTCTAGGTCCGGCCGAGTGGTGCGATGGTTGGGAACTGGCTTGGGACGCCAGAGGGCCCCGGTTCGGATCCCATGTGTGAGGGCCAGTGACACTGCCCTCTACAGTTAGGATGCTGAACAGCAGCTCAACCTGGAGCTGGGTTGCCGTGAGTCGCTGGCGACGGCATAGGCTGCAGCCCCTGTGGCAGTGGGTTGCCATGGGCTACCATATGTGGCCAGCAGCCAGCGTGAGCGGCCAGAGGCCGCCGAGATCGGCCATCCAGGGGCCGGCGACTGATCTGCCTCACCTGGGAAGAGCGCAATGATGGTGCCAACTTGGGCCAGTGAAGCAACGTCCTCCACAATTAGACTGAAGAACAAAATGACAGCAACTTGTCTGTTCCCTTTCCCCCAATTCTCCGGCTCTGTTCCCATCCCCCCAATTCCCCAATAAAAAAATCTTTAAAAAAAATAGTTCTAGGTGTTCTGTTTGGGACAGAGTTCTCTGGACTGCATAGGGCCATCTTGCCAGCTAATGCATTTTACATTAAAATGTTTGTGATCAGCCTGACCTAAACCCAATACAGAACTCTGTTTCTTTGCCATCATAACTAAAGGGCAGCGCATGAGAACCATGAGGGAGGAGAGTGGTGACAGTGTCCTCTGGTGCTTGTGAGACCCACCCCAACCTAACACCCTCACTCACTCAGCCATCCTTGGGAAACAGGTAGTTCTGAATCAAAAACCAAACTTTGATTCAGAAGTGACACTTCCAGCAATTCCTATGGACTTTGCGTTAAAATTTTGTTTTCCCTACAAATTTACTAATCAACCTTATCAAAAGGAAATTCATGACATGTCTAAATGCTAAGAGACCAGGGAACAAAATTAGGGCTGGAAATAGTGACCTGGTTTCACTAGATATGGCAGGAAAATTACTGATATAGGTCACTGGTTTTTTTCTACCAGAAGTGTCTGACTAAATTAGGTTACAGCCTGTGGTTCTTCACCTGTCTCTCACATAAATAAAATTCCCCAAGAGTGCCCCCTCAGCCCTACTCATTGGATGACTGGTACAAAGCCATTTCAGCCAGTACAAATTACCATTTTGTTTGTTTCAGGAGGAACTGGGTTCCCTCAAATGAGTGTGGTATGAAAATTTGCTCAAAACCAAAGGTGAGTGATAAAATAATCTTTCAAAGGATCCTTCTATGTCTAAGATTCTAGAATTCTCTGATTGTAGGATATGGAATACCATTTAATGAGATGTGTTCCACATAAATGAGCAGATCTAGGATCAGAAGTATGCCATAACTTGAAGACAATCCCAAATTTATTTTTAGGCTATATGAATCTTTCAAGGTTCTTGATTTCAGAAACAAAGCCCACTCTAGCTAGTTTAAGCGAAAAGAGAATTTTATTAAAAATTTTAAGTAGTTCTAAGAATCACAGTGAGAGAATCAGCCATGGATGCTCTGAGACCAGGAGCCACAAGCAACTTACACAGCAGGATGGCTCCAGGGGACACCCCACTGTCCCTAGGCACAGATAGCTGAGTTTTCACCCCCGGCGGTGGACACTGGAGGCTACAGCTAGAACCTCTGGCAATGGTCTCTGGAATGTGCTGCCTCTCCCTTTACCTGCCATGATAGATCCTTGAGGTACATCAGTCACATCCTCATGGAGGTCTCAGTCAAGTGGGTGATTGGCAGAACCTGGACCCTATGTTCTCAAATCTAAGATGTCAAGAGAGTTTTTGACAGGTGTGACTGGTTAGCTCAGTTGGTTAAAGCATGGTGCTGATGACACCAAGGTTGCCGGTTCGATCCCCGCATGGGCCACTGTGAGCTGCACCCTTCTTAAAAGAGTCAACTATGTCAGTGTAGCATGAAAGCAATGTGTAACCAATAACCATAGCTGTTCCCCAATAAATTTTTTAAAAAAGAAAGGGGGCCTGGGGCCGGCTGAGTGGCGCATTGGTTAAGAGTTGGCTTGGGACGTCAGCTCTGAGCAGCAGGGTCCCGATTCGGATCCCACATTAGGGCCAGTGATGCTGTGCCCTCTACAGCTAAGATGGTGAACAACAGCTCGACCTGGAGCTGGGCTGCCATGAGCCCCCGGTGATGGCATAGGCTGCAGTGGAGCTGCAGTGGGCTGTTGTAAGTTACCATGAGTGGCCGGCAGCTAGTGTGAGCTTTCATGAGCTGCCGTGAGCTGTGGTGAGCAGCCCTCCAATGGCTGGGGAGCAACTGCCTCACCCGGGAGAGCGCAATGATAATACCAACATGGGCCAGTGAAGCGACGTCTTCCACAACTAGACTGAAGAACAAAAAGACAACAACTTGTCTGTTCCCCTTCCCCAATTCCCCAACGCTGTTCCCCTCCCCCAATTCCTCAATAAAAAAAATCTTGGGGGAAAAAAAAAACGGGGAGACTTGGATGGACTTCTGTTAAAAAAATAAAGAAGAGAGTTTCTGACCACTTTGGAGAGCACTCTCAAAAACTAGGACATTCTCCAAGTATAAAATGTGCCCTGAGGTCATGGGTGGCCAAAACACCTGACAAATGCCCCCTTCAGTGAAGTAGTATAATCTCGGCTTCCCTAGGTGCCTGGAGAGACTGAGTCACGCCTTTCCAGAGGAGTTAATATTTCATGGGGCCAACTGTTAACCAATAGGATATGGGGAGTGGGAAAGAGCTGGCAGATAAATCCCTTTTCCTTCCTCTCTGCTGGCAGGCTGCCTTGAGAAGCAGTACTTTACTTGGTCTGACTGAACACACCCCACGAGATGGAGTATTAACTATAGTGGCTGCTGATAATAGGCTGCTTCAAGCTTCCCTCATGCATGCCCCGCCTCACTCCCTTTTCCCTGTCTCTTGCTTCCTTGCACCTTCCTAAAAGGTGGCAGCTCAGAAGCTTTCCCCCTAGGCTCTGGTTTCTAATAGAACCTGGGCTACAAGAGCATCTTATTGTAGATGCAGCAAGTTCTCACGAGATCTTTGCCTGCTTCGTCTCTGTGATCAGCTTTAATTATTTTCCCTGGAAAACCAGTAATTGAAGCTCATGCTTTGTAAGCCTGCACTTGCCATGACTGTCACTCATGTTGAAAACTTCTTTTCTACTATTGCTAACTTATTTTTGCCTTGTGTGCAAAGATATACACACACACACACACACACACACACACACACACACACACACATATATATTCACTGGAGGATTGAGCTGTGAGAGTGGGGGTGGAGGAATTAACTTGATAACTCTCAGATTCCCTTTGTTTCCTAGCTTCTCGTTGAAACGGCTTCATGCTTTGTTCTAGCAGGCTAACTTTCTCCTAGTTTCCCAAACAAGCCTTTGTGGCTTATTTCTCGGTGCCCTCCCCCAGGCTATTTTCTCTATTAAGAATCTGTTTGCCCTTCCCTTATAAATACAATTAATGCTTCTTGTCCTTTCAAACTAAGCTTGGGTGTCTCCTCTTTAAGGAAGCTCTCCTGAGGACCCCCAACCACAACTCTAATTTATATCAAGCTGTGTATTCCTATCATACCCTATGCATGGCATTTACATGGGCCATACTGGACTTCAGTTATTAGTCTATGAGCCTGTCTTCCCTAAAAGACAGCAAGATTACCTTGAGCTGAGCTGCCACCAAATGGCTCAGTGGATAGAGCATGCGCTCTTAACAACAAGGCTGCTGGTTTGACTCCCGCATGGGATGGTGGCTATGTCCACCTGCAACAAAGATTGTAACACAGCGCCTTGAGCTTAGAGGCCGCGAGCTTCCAACGGGCAGCCAGATGGTGACTGGTGCCCTCCACAACTAAGATTAAAGAAAAACAACTTGGCTGGTCTGCCTCCCCAATTTTCCAACACTGTTTCCCTCCCTCAATTCCCCAATTAAAAAAAAAAAAGATGGCAAGCTTCTTGAGGGCAAGAACCATGTCTCATTTGGTTTTATAGACGTAGCTTTAAGCAATGTGATGGGTACACACATAATGATTATGCAATAGAAAGTTGTTGGATGAATGAGTAATATTTATAGAATAATTTCCTGAATAATTCCAACTAGGCTCTCTGTGCAAATGTTGTGGCAGTGCCTAGAAAAATCCCCAGTCCAAATCCTTCCCTGGGTGGATGTGCCGCTCCATTTAACCGGTGAGATGGTAACGGCACTGCACCATCCTAGTTGAAAATTTTCTACAACTTCTCTAGGAAGGAGGGAAATCCTGTGAAAAGGTTCAGTGTCATGTTTTTGGTTACTTCCTAAGTGAGTGACAGTGATTAGAAACAAAATTTCTACTAAAAAAAGTAAGTAAAGTGTAATTTCACCTAGCGTGTGCCTCATAGATGATCAGTGTTTATGTCATCCACATACCACTTCACTAGTAGACAAAAACAGTTGTTAAAAGAAGACATTTAATTGCTCCCATATTTGGCAACACTCTATTCCATATGTCTAAAGCTAGTCCTCATTTCATATACATATCCACATATGTCCTAATTTTTGGTTTAAAAATATGTATACTCATTCATTTATCCATGGACCCATTTAATAAATATTTATTGATGCCTACAATGGGCCTGTGTCAGGCTATGGATGCAACAGTGAACAGAACAAATATCACCCATCTTGGAGCTTGTATTCTAGTAGGGGAGGCTACCAACATTGTGAGTTGTATTCAATAATTCTTTCTTTCAACAAATATTTGTTAAGTGCTATTTATTTATTTATACTTCTTCAGCACTTTATTGATAAACAACATAAGTAAACATAAATTTATATTTATTAAACACTTTATATCATAAATAAATAAATAGAAATAAGTAAATATAAATTTATTTACTTATATTTATTAAGCACTACTAAGGACTAGATGGCAAAGATACAGGGGTACCCCATGGTGGTTACTCCCTAGAGTCAATCATTTTACAAATAGTTAATAACAAATGGAGACAACGATTATGAAGGAAAAACAGATTGAGGGGATCCCAGTCTGGATGGGGGTGGAGGTAACCAAAAACTGACATTCAAACTGTCCAGAAGAATCATGACGCATGAGATAAAGGAAAGGTTGGAGGCCCACTCCACATAGGGCTGCTAATGTATGCAAAGGGATGCTGGCACTTTGGGGGATCTGAAAGAAGCCCAGGTAGCTGGAGAACCAGGAGAGAGTGATGGGAAATCAGGAAAGGTGATTGGGGCCAGATCATGTAGGGTTTGTACGTTATGTAAGGAGTCTGGTCACACACATTAGGGGATAATGGATTACAGAAGACTGAATGAGGTTGTTGTTGGTAAAAATTAATTCATTAACTTCAAAGGTACTCATCTCTATTCTTTTGTTTTACAGTCTGGTGTAAGTAGTTGACTTTTGTTTGTTTTTGAAAAACTGTTTATATCATATATAAATTGGTAGTATTAAAAACTTTTCTAACAACTTGCACTTAAAAGAACTCTTAGATTTATTATAAAATTTGGGAAACTGAAGTTATTTAAGAGACTAAATGTCAGCTGACTACCGGTATATATTTGAGTCTAAATATGAGAGTAAATGTTTTTATTTGCCTGCCAGGGTTTCAACTATTATGCGCCTTTCTATCCCTGTTACTGGTATATAATAACAAGAACATTCTAATTTTCATGCATAAAAGATGAAAATATTTTTCTTTTGCCAAGAATCAAAGACTCTGTACAGTTTTTCTATTGTTTCTTGGGTGACATCTGGTGGATAAAAACTGAAATGCAGTTTTATATAGTTTATAAGAAAAGGTGAGGTTCTCAAATTCCATTGATAGAAAATCATTAAAGAATATGTGCCGAATTGGTTGAAGATTAATTTTGCTTATATTTTTGGCATTATATTATCTACAGTAATTAGGCATTATGGTATCAGACGTGATGGAGAGAACATTCTAGTGCTCTACTGAATTTGAGTTCTGCTCAAACATCTGGCAGAAAAGAGCTAAATGATGTGATTTTTTTTTCCTTTTAAAGAACTTCCAAATAAACAAATTAGCTACAGACAGACAAGAATCAGATTGATATTGGACTTCTCAGTGGCAATACTGGATATAAGAGACAACAGAACAATATCTTCAGCATCCTGAGGGAAATTTTCTTTCTGCCTAGAGTTCTCTACTGAGCCAAACTCGCCTGGTGTGAACAAAATAAAAG